CACAGTACACATGGGTGATGTCAAGAGAGATGTTACCGTCATATTTATTGGAAGGAACCGAGCGCAGTGTGATCAGTACTGTCAGCGATTGTCAAGATACTGTGGCCCAGCAGTCACCAAAGAGAAGCCAGTCGATATCGCATTTTTGCGTCAGCCGAAGAAGAGGAGAATTTCTGGAGCCGAAGCTCAAACTGAATGCAGCATCACGCAGACGAAAACCTCATGTGAGGGGGTTCCCGTAAAGCAAGAACAAACTGACGAAGCTCGCGAACATGAGGCCGTATCTGACTCGAAGCCGTCTCCCAGTTGCGCTGCTGCCATGACGTCTGACCACGAGTACGTCACTCCGTCAACTTCATCAGAGCGTGGTCACGGCAAGAAGCCAAATGGGGGTAGGTATTATCTTGAACTTTGCCTTTAATACTCCGAATGCTTATTCTTTCTAATTTTCTTTTAGTTGGCTCCGTGCTTTTTCAAGGGTGCGCGACCGCGGCGAGCGCTGCCGAGTCGGTTGTGCTTCCGCTGTGCCGCGAAACGCGGAAAAAAAATCGGGGCCGCTGTTGGCGGTCGACGGACTACTTGAACTCGGTCCTTTAAGCTGCCTCACTCGACGCTTTCGTCTGCGCTCTCTCGCCTTATCAGCGGCTCATGACCACTGTGATCTCACACATTCAAACTTTTGCCACACTGTAGTTGGCTCACCCACCTCGGAGTCCCTCCCCCTTACAAGGCTTAGTCCTAGGGCTCTCACCTCCTTCCTTGGGATTTGGAGCCGAGCCAGGCGCCGTTCTCTAACCGTCTGTGCTCTCCGCCATTCGTGGCACCATAGAAGAAAGTTCAAGTAGTCCGTAAACCGTCGTTGGACGATTTTTTCGCAAGCGTCAATTGTATTTGAGGCTCATTTCGTCCGGTTCAATGCAGGACCAGTCTAAAGGTTCAGGGTATATGGGGTCTAAGATTTCAAAAGCTCTTAGAACTGTAAAACCTGGCGCGCACGCCTATTCACGAAAATTTTTTCTTATCTGTTCTGCTCTTGGTATAGGACTGGATTTATTAGCCAATGTCCTGTAGTCGTCCATGTTTCGTTTGAAGCCTTTGTTTTCCTTTGGTTTATCTTTAACACACTGACGGCAGCGTGGTAACCATGTACGCCGCGATTTGCAAGTTGGACATTGTGGCAACTATGTATGCCACACCCATTGAATTCATTTTTTTTCGCGCATGCCCTACTTCTTCCCAAGTTATTGCTTATACTGTAGGCCACACATTAGCATAATCATAAACGGCTTACCATTAGCTCAGAATGGGCGAAATGCTTTTTTTGACAAAGGTTTTCTAGTCCTCACGGAGAACTGCCTGTTCAGTTCATTCCTCATTTTTTTTTCATTAGCATGAACATGCCGGTACAAAAGAGTAATAGAGGCACAGACAGAAGACGACGCGAGAGGGAGCTTGTCGCAGGCTAGATCGCAAGGTCACGCTAGATCGCCGAGGGCATATAATTTTCGATGTGAATTGCGTGTCGGTCCGCACCCTTGAGAGGTTCCCCTTGCTGAGTTTCTCTACTTCGAATACCGTCTTTTGGAATTCTCCTTTACCTAATACGTTACTTTTACTATCGCAAATTCAGTCAGATTCAGTCTCATAAGTTTGTGCGGGAACAGTTAACTGGAGGTCTTTCTTACTTACGTGAAATTGTTTTCATTTCTTTTCAGATGTGGACGTTGTAGTGCCGCAAAGTTTCTTTGTGGAGTTACTGCGAACTCTCAAGAATCTGCGTGGCGAATGTCGCACCCGCTTCGACCGTCTTGACGACCAACTGGATGATTTAGCTAGTCGAGTAAGCGCTGTTGAAGAGATCATTCAAGAAGGCAACGCTTTCTTTTTGAAAGTGGACAACTCAAGCCCATCGTCATCTCATCCGCAGCACGCTGGTGATACGGGTATCAACACACTGCCGGGCTTGCCTATTAATGGACAGACTTCGAGTAGGTGTCTAGTATTTGTCAGCTGATTTTCTCTTTCTGACTTTCTTCCATTTTTCTGATAATCGTGTATAAATGAGAGAAAGTTCATCGCATACATAAAAACTCGCTCGCAGTAAAATGCATATATTCTGTTTCCGCGGCTATATGAATTAGGAGCACTTTCGGTATCAATTAGAATCGAGTGCTTCAAAAGAGTACGTGGTATTGCATTTTCTATTGCATTTTCAATACCGCATACAGCCTCGAATAACACTCGCTGTAGTTCTGTAATGTAACGGAAGAGGAGTTTTTGGCGCTGCTGAGGATTGCCATAACTGAACTGAAAGACTGGAATTGATAGGAATTACCTATGTGATTATGCGTTTTCAGAGCTGGAGTACCCTTATCCCCTGCTGAGCGAGACAGATGTGATAATGCTTCAGAAAGAAAGCAAGACGATCACCTCCTTTGCAAGGAAGGTGAGCAAATAGCATAAAAATGAAGAAGTTTGATGTTCAGATTAACAAGATCTCGTATTTTTTTACGACGAGCATCTTTCCTGGTTTTCGTATGAGTAGTATTTTCTTTCTTTAAGGTTGATCGCGTACTCTTTGCTAATGATTCTGATAAGGATAGTCCAATTGATGCTCGTGCTGATAAGGAGAAGGTTAGTCGGAGACATTTAAATAGGTGTTAGGGTTCACGAGTTGACTTGTGGATGCGGTTTATGCTATAGCAATAAAATTGCCTATTATGCGCGCCATGCATTCTGAATCTTAACTTCTCGTCGCTTGAAAAACGTTGTTCATTTTAAGATCCTATGGCTAAAAATGCTGATCCGAACATTACATCCAACTGCTTCTGATCTTGACGACGCTGCGAGGTGGACGGCCTGCCGACAGGCTATCAACGACTACTGTAGGAGGTTTGTTGAAATTACGCTTGAAGCAGTTTTTCGATTGGCGAGTACCAAACATGAGTGTCCCGCAAATCGCGCACAGATCAATACCGCAAAGTTGCAGGTCTGGGAAACATCTGAGCCACGAGGAGCGGCTGCAAGTACTTCATCTCGTTGCGAATCGAAGTCATGAGGAGGTGGCACTGATCTTCAACAAGCTTCATCCAAATCGTGAACCAATAAGACAAAGTAGTGTCAGTAGACTGATCGCCAAGTTCAAGGAGACTGGGTCGATCAAAGATCGACCTCGTTGTGGGAGACCGAAGAGTTTAACCGACCACGTCAATGCAGCAGCGGTGCTCAATTTAATTCGTGAAAATCCTGGGAAGTCACTCCGACAAATGGCTGTCGAAATAGGAATGTCAAGAAGTAGTGTTCATAGGATATTGCAGGCTCACAAAGAGCACTCTGAATACAACAGGTTCTTCAGCAACTAGGAGCTTGCTATACATCACTCACTACTGCGTTGTGGTCCATTAAGAGAATATTCAGCTGATAGTTCCGAGTTTACTAAAGGCTAGCTATATGTAGTAGGTCGATGTCAGACTTTGCGAATCGCGGACGATTGCGAATCGAGCAATTTGCAGTCGTCCGCGATCGCGTCGCGGTCAGCGAATCGCTCGATTGGCTGGTACCGCAATGCGACCGTGGACACTAGCGAATTGCCAGTAGCGAATCGCTCGATTCGCAATTCTGAAATCGGCCGCATAGTGAAGCACGATGAAATATATAGTATTGACGTGCGCGATTTGTGGCACACATATTTTTGTAAAGAAAGTGTTGTCTGAGTTATGAATTTAGCGTTGAAAAGCGAAGTCAAAATAACTATGTATCCGTCACTACTTATGTATATCGAGCATTCGTTCCGAATATCAGCCTTTCGGGTTCAGGTCTCGAAGAAAACGAGCACCAAGAAATACCACTATCACTAGGAATGCTGGCGCACAGTAACATTTCAAACTGTTGTCACCTTCACTATATTGACCGTTGATCTTGTTGTTGTACATTGTTTTGATCTGTAATAACTTCGTTTTCACAATTGTCACTGATTCTATAAATATGAACGGGTTCACGAAATAGCGAAGAACAATGGGAAGTGGTGAGCAGCCAGCATTACACGCCTGGCTGCTGTCATGCTTTGCGTCATTGCGGACAGTGTGGACACTGCAAGAAAAGCGTCAACAACATCTGTGCGCTCTGCGCTACGCTCGCAGCGGCGAAAGTATAACTCAGGCTTACACGGTCATGGGCTGGCAGTTCCTTTTTCCACTACGCTAGCCTTTACTGCCACCTAGTAGTAGCTTTAAGAAAACTGATTTGACACCAAACGAGCAAAGTGAAAAGAAAAAAAAAAAAGAGGGGGGGGAAAAAAAAAAGAAATAGAATAACGGATGCCGTTCTTTGTATCTCTGTTTCCAAAGTAGTCGTAAATCTAAGTGAGTTTTCATGCATTACTATTAGAGGAAAACGACACATGATTTAGTTGGAGTCGTTATTCTGCTGGAGAATACGAAGGTCAAGCTCCAATTTGGACTGCTAGCGTAGGAAAAAATTGAAAAAAAAAAACAGCCAACAGCAGTGGAAATGACAGCCACCGTTCCAGGCTTTTCGAGGAATCCAAGAAGGAGTAGAATATGATATAATGGCGCTCACGTCGTTGGGGCGAGGAGGGGGTAGAGAAGGTCGTTCAACTGAATGAGCCAGAAGGAGGGAGTGTGGGAGAGGATGAGCTATATGTGTCTAACTGGCGTTATCTTTATCGTTGGATTAGAGCCTTAGTGTCCGTCCCCACTCGGCCCGCGTGAATCCGTCCCCCCCCCAATAGTCATGAGCGTTTTGATATAGAAGAACAATATAATTTCACCATAGGGTTGAGTTACGACATAGTGGGAACCCAGGACTAAGAAACGGATACAGTTCACAGTGAAGTGGTTAGCGACAGTCATTTGTCCATCGGCACATATGTGGCTGGTACGCCTATGCCTATACGCAGGGCCATGTTCAAGCTCCACTTTGGCGGTGTCAGACTTGCGCCGACAATCGCTAGAACCGCGTGACTAGCTATGAGTCCGAGAAGAGCGATTTGCCAGCGATGTGCGATGCGGCTGCCCGCGCGTCTCGCATCGTCCAATAGTATAAATAGGGAGCCTGAGCAAGTGGATCTGTATTTTTGTGAGGTACTGTTAGGACTGCGATGGAGGCAAAAGTAACGCGAGCATCAGTGAGTATGTACCACTGTTAAGCGATTACGTGACTTCTTGAACTTTCCTCCATGTTCTATGTCATGAATGCTTATTCACAGTACGAACCGAGACGCGTCTGAGGCTTGGCGCCAAATCCTAAAGTGAGAAGTTGAAAGCCCCATGGATTCAGACCTAAAGGGGGAAGGCTCCGGAGTGGGTGATCTCAGTTAGAACTGTTGGCAAAAACTCAAATGTTTTTAGACGCAACAGTCAGTACATAGCCGCAGTATTGGCGAGAGACGCAAGCCTAAACCATCATCTGATGTGAGCGTCAAAGGACCAATGCCCGTAGAACCGGCGGCGCGACAGGGCGTTGGCGCGGGATTTCGTACTCTTGCGCTTGCCTTGCTGCTGTTTGAAGACCCTTCACCTGCTATCGCTCTCGCTCCTCTTGTTCGAAATTAAGGACCTTGTTACAAAACCGTTGCAACTGACTGATGCCATAAAATCCATGCTGTAGTATCCACAGTGTTGGCAGTAGTTTTGTAACGCTCGTCAATTTGCCATAGAATTATCAAACCTGCTCAATTTAAGCTTCTCATGACAATGTTTCATTCCTAGTTCGATGATTCGTCAGCGCTGTTTATTTCCCATTAAGTTGAAGATTGCGATAGAAGAAGCAACTGCGTGGTCCGTGGTCTTTTTGTGCTTTCACAGAAGTATACATTATACGAAGTTATACGATTTGAAGGTCCAACTCAAAAGAGGACGAACGAATAGAAGATATTGCGAATACCAGCCGATCGGTCGCCACTGAAAGGAATGAGGCGGCTTCGTGAAGATTCTCCGAGTAGGACCGAAATATCAAGTAGGGATTCTTTATTCCCGTTTTGAAGTCTAGATCTTCTGCGAATGTTCGGATGTTTTCTTATAACCTTTCAGGGTCTCATCCAGTAAGGAGGAGAAGGGGGCGACCATTGTAGAGTCTACCTTTTCACGGTCGAACTCTGAGGTGGGTGTAAAAGTGAAATGCGAACATGGTCACCATGGCCCCCCGGGATTCCCTCCCCTTGCAAAATTGGAATTACCTGGGCTCTCCGCACTTCTGCCACGATTTGGGACCGCTGCGCGAGCGCCGCCGAGTTGATAGTGTCACAATGTGCGATTGGAGTGTTTTCAAACCTACTCGCAACATATTCGTCTTAACCCAGAACCTACTCGCACATTTCGTTACCAACTTGTCCGCGCTCGCCGCGGCCGCGCCCAAATCGTGAAGAAAGTGGGGAAGCCGAATTTCTGTAGCCCGCAGAACTGTCACATCACATGCCCCCTTACTGAATGAGACCCTCTTCTCAGTTTGACTACTTAATTAGTGAACACGCTCAAGCTCATGTCAGAGTCCGCGATTGATCGCGCGATTCGCGCGACCGCGGACTCTGACACGAGCTGGTGGAGAGGTGGATGTGGCACAGCTTTGGCAATAGGCAGCTTCAGAGCCATCTTGTGGATCTGCATTGTAAACGAACTTTGAACATAGAAGAATCACTGCCATAGGAGGCTAGGGTGCAGATGGGTATAGGGTAGCGGCTCACCCAACTTCGAATGCCGAAATTATAAGACCTTAGCCTGAACCCGCCAGGTGAAGCAGTTCGGGGGTAAGCCAATAACTGTATGGCAAATGTTGAAGTATGTGAAATCGCCGTAATCATGAGACGCCAAGCGGGTGAGCGCTGCTGTCGTGGGTGAAACATCAACGCGCATCAAAGGGCCGCGTGTAGGCAGCCCGTTGACCACCGCTACGGCGCGCATTTTCAGTTGCCTGCACTTTATCACCCAGATACCGCACCACAGTAGCATTGCATTCACATTTAACCAACGAAGTGTCGCAGCAGTTCCGGAATGCACACTCTTCACTGTCTATTTAATTGGATCATGTTGCGCGAGCCCTCACAGTGGGCTGGAATAGAGGCTCCTGAAGCTACCGAACTCAAGTAAAAAGTTGAACCAGTAGACGCTTACTGCTCTTCCGTTTTAGTTTGAAAGTTTTGTCACATCATGGGTAGGACTTCTTTTCTTCTTCCACACACTTCATCGTTTACGCTGAATGTGTTTTCCTTTTTGAGTGTAATTCCGTAGAATAGATAACCGAGCATATACTATCCGCACTAGTTTTGTATTAAGAAAAATTGAGCAAATGCCAAAATACCAGTAAAAAAGTAAAGAGAAACCCTTAAACCAGTTAATCATTTCATCGTATGAGTGAATCTTCTACTGGAGCCTAGGCAGACGTCTGCGCTCCGATTACTTGTGTAGTCATTGAATAGATATCTTGGAGATGGCTGGCGGCAAAACTTGCTGCTAATGTGAACTTTGAACTGAATTCCTACAACGAAGTTTGAATTCCGAAAAAGGTTCATTCTAGCAATCTTGATTCAAACTGACTGATGAGAGTAACTTTGTGCATCACTGTAGAAGAGACGGCCTGTCGCTTTGGTGTGTGGTTTTCTAGAACTGAAAGCTCTTTTTCGCTTTTCTTAACGCGAAAAATTTTCCGCTGCGAAAACCCCAGTTCCGCCCCTTATCAGGAGTGGACCTGGGATTTCGCAGCGAAAATTTTTTTGCTTCGGAAAGCGTGACTCATCAACACCAGTAGATGGGAACAGCCCCTCGAATACAGTTGCGCTTAACTTTATGCGGTGACTTTTGTGTTCTTCAGGTTCTAATCAGAGTGAATCGTCCGCTCCCGTAAATCGTAGAAGTCTCAGATCCTCGAAAAAAGTCGTCAATCAGGCCCATCAATCAAACGACAGACGAACCAACTCGCAAGCTTCTTTTGCATCTTCGTACAAGAATGTGACTAGGAAGCGCGGACGCCCACGACTTTCGCATCCAATTGGAAAAATCAGTACCTCAAAAAACCGCGGCAGACCACGACAGTCAGAAGCGTACACTAAGGACGATAAGGCAAAGAAAAACGTTAAACTGTCCATTGTGAAAGTTCTACGGGATTGCTCAAGAGGATCACGGAGTGGGTTTCGCATGTTTTTTTCTCGGGTTCACTTCTAGTTCGTTATCAGATATCGTTGGCGTATTCATTAGAATGTTATAGGTTATACGGGTGCGCAAACGGGTGGACAAATACGGAGAACGGGTCGAAAGGTAGTGCCTCAATTGACCGCGGTTGCTGAAAGGTCACAAGCAGGCAAAATCTGTAACCTTGACTCTGCCTCGGGAAAGCATAAGAAACAACGTATCTCGAAGCGTGGACAAGGTGAGTTAGTTTCCATATGAGTTCCGCTAGTTTTGAAAACGTTATATATAAGCGCTCCACATTTGGTTTTCAGATCGACTACAAAATACAGCCGCGTCTGGAGATGACGGCAAAGGTGTTAGCCCAGATTGCAGGAGTGTTGAGGAGAATCTACCGAAAAAGAAAGTTCGTTCCGAAGAAGCACTCAGGTTAAGAAACAAAAACTGGCTGAAAAGGCGGCTGCTAAGCTAGCAAAGGCGAAGGAACGGGAATTGAAAAAAGCAGCTAAACTTGAGAGGCGCCAGCAGAAGTTGGAAGAACAGGAACGCAAGAGAAGGGAACGGCTATTGAGGAAAGAAATGAAAGAGAAATTATTGCAACAAAAGCGAGAATGGCGTGAGGAGGAAAAGAGGAAAAGGCTTGCGAGAGAGCTGCAGTCAATGTGCAAAAAGAGGAAGCTCGATAGCTATTTGGTGAGCTTATTCATTTGCATTGACCCATCCAACTTATCGAACTTTCCTTGCTGCAGAAGAGCTGCGAGACAGACGAGACGACACAGTTCATTTCGAGCCCTTGTGATGGCATACTTCCTTTCGTTGACCTCAGCATATTCTGGAGCATTTTTGTTCCCGGGCAGGTCTTCTTGGGCCGATGGCTAGTGGGTCTTATATTTAATCACACCATACTATACTGGAAAAGTGGGTTTTTGATAAGCTAGGAACGTTTTCCATCACTCGAGTCCTTTTGAATTTTATGAAATGTTCGTTTTCATTTGCATTGTTTCAGATTTTGGATGAAGTTCCTTCGCATCGTTACGGTGTGATAGCATATCTTGTAGTTGAGCAAAGCGAAGCTGCTACCCAGGTGAGATTTCCTTTGATTTTTCCACTGCCAGAAGATTGTTGGCAATTTGCAAGCGTTTAGTGTGTTCTATACGCTCAACTGGCGGACAGCTCGTTTGCTTCGCTTCCGGAAGAGATGTATTTCGTACAAATTGTAAGTTTTTTCATGAGAAAATGAGCTGAATTGTCATCCAGCCAATATTGGCTACATAAGTTATGTAAGTCACACCAAGCGAGTCATTAGGTCCAACTGCGGCAGAAAGTCTTACATGCATTTACCGTGCTGCGTGTTTAGAACTAGTTATTCGTATCTTACTTGTTAGAATCAATGTTTGTTAAGCAATCAGAGAAGAATCGCTCTTCTATGTTTCAAACGATTGTGGACGCTCGATTCATTGATGCTTCACCGCAGTCACCTCCATTCTTCTACGCCATTGTGCTCCTACGGTGAATATGATTTTTTTATAGACGTTGGAAAGGTAATAAGTTTTGCTTTGTGGTCTGCATATTGAATTATATGATGCTAATATACTTGAAAAGCTGAAGCTTCTATAGACGCTTACTATTTTTTTGCCAAGAGAAGCGTTGTTTCAGTTCCATCGAATTTCGCTCAACTGCATACAGAATTTTGTTTGCAGTGAATCTGTATCCTTGTATGATTTATGGAATGGCTATCCGCATCCACCTGAGGGGAGTAGCGAAAAGAAGGCTTGGAGTTTGGGAACGGTTGGTCGTCTAGCTGCAGATTTCCTAGGAGTGGGTAATTTACTTATGCTTTCATTTTGCAAATTAAATTCAGATTTCTGCAAAAGCTATGTGGTATTCTTCAACATTGAGGCAGGGGTGTGGTTCGCTAGGACAGGAAGCTTTTTCCGCTCTTCACAGCACGAAACCTCGCCGCGGGATCCTTCGGTCTGCCATAATCAGACGTGGACCCAGGGTTCCCACGGCAAAAAAAAAACTCGCACTGCGAGAAGCGGAAGGTCGCTTTCTATCCTAGCGAACTACACCCTTGAATTAAAGCAACCATCAGAAGTAATCGTCTTATTATCGTCAGCGTTGGCTCGTTTTCACCCATACACTTTCCATGGTCTTTCCAAGTTTTTTTTCGTAAAGCTTTTTACTCAATCAAGACATCTCTGTGCCGTAATTTTTTCTTTTCAATTCTCTTCGCAAGGAGTGTAAGCAAACTTTGTCGCAGGGTTCAACTCGTATTGATTAAAACTTCCGCTCAGCAGGATCAGTGCGCTAACTAATTTAGGTGCCTAATCTCAGAATTACCACTTTCTCACATTATTGCTGACAATCAGTCCCGTAGGTTTTTTTTGGTCTCTGTATTGCAGCAGTGTGGTATGCAATCTGGCACCCCAACTCACACCTCCATCCGACTTGTTTTGTTTCAAGAGTGTTTTGGCACATTCACTTTTTGCGAATGTTCTGGTGAAACTACCGTCAAAGAGGACCACGACGGTGACGAAAGCTGCTCTATAGAAGGAAAATGAAAATAATCTTGGTTTATAGCATACATTATACGAAGTTATACCATTTTGGACCAGTGGTGGTGAAAATCCAGTTGGGGGGGGCCACTCATATATCTTATCTACATATCTTATCAAAGTGACTATCTAATCAGAGCGAAGTTGCGGAAAGGCCCTCATATCTTATCAACATTCAGAGCACAGGCTCTGTGTGTGCGATTAGATAGGATACCACTCGCACTAATTCGGCCAACCAGTCGTCAAATTCCTCCTTTGACTTCGCCTTCAGCTCAGGCCACGTGGTGAACATCGTGAAAGTGCGAAGTGTCAGCAGGGCAGCAGCCATTTCCGCTATAGAATGGTAGGCAAGGGTAACAGTCAAATGAATGTGTGACGTAGCAATCGTAGGACACCGTCTCAGTACGCTGATTACGTTTGATAAGATATGAGTGCCTTCCCCTATGCTGTGATTAGATATGAGGGCCTTTCCGCAACTCCGCTCTGATTAGATAGTCACTTTGATAAGATATGTAGATAAGATATATGAGTGGCCCCCCCCAACTGGAGTTTCACCGCTGGTCTTCTCAACGACTGTACAAAGAGTCCTCAGCTGAGCGTTAGCTCTTAAGTGTCTTGTCCTGCATTTTAATCCTTGGCTCACCTGTTTACGAAATAAATTGAATAAGTGATTTTTCGTTCGCTTTTATTAAATTCTTATAACCACAATTTTTTACTCTGGTTCAGCTGAGGGTTATATTTTTCCTGTCAAGTTTGGAGAGGGTTTAGCGATTTCAGAGAAAAATACTCAAAAAAAACCGTTTGTCAATTACTTTTGCGCCTCTACTGTACTTGTTGATTCAACCGCGTATCTCCAGCTTTCTGTCAATAGTATCTTTGACGATATACTGTGATGCTCTACTGACGAAATGCTTTCGACCTTTCCGATCTATCAAAAATGATGACATTCAGCGAGTATTCTCTCGCGCAGGGTCCGTTCCCTCCTTAATTTAAGTGGATTTTTTTCATTCATGTTCATTTAGAATGCAATAGAAGTGGTTTTACAGACGGGTACACGTTCCAAATTAAAATTCGCAGTTCGCCATTTGGATTAAGAATCGTTCGCTTAGTTTCTGATAACTGCCTCAAGGTAAGTGAGTCCCGTGAAGAGTGTATTGTATTCTAATTGCCAAGTTTTCGTTTTTCAAATAATATCCTCGTCTCTGTAGCATACTTTTTTGTGTTTACGAGGAGTGCACATTCTTAGTATTCAGGTAGTGAAAGGTCACTGAGCTATGGACCTTAAAATAAACTGAAAATGTGGCTTTTGTGCAGCATACTATGTGTTGCCCAGATATTGCACCTCTCAGTTAGCATGAAAGGTGAACTAATGAAATGTGGGTGTTGTTTTGGACATCAAAGATGTAAGGTGTTGAATAGTTTCATGAAAGGTAATGTGACGGCTGTGCTCTCGCTAAGGGTATTATCAATGAGGGATGTTGTCCGGTTACAGATTGTGCAGCAAGTGCCTTCTACATCATGTTGGAACTGATGGGTTTGATGACATGGCGTGGCCTTAATAAGGATGAGGTTAGTGCAGATGCCTACAGAAAATTTGGGCGGTAAAATTTTGGATCTTTGAAGAATTTTTTCAATGTTCTGAATTTTTCCACCTTCTCTTCTTGGGTTTGCGATAGATTGGCGCTCGTTCGCCGACATTCAGGATTGGGGTTCTGTTTCTTCCAAATAAAGGCGAATGATATTTGGATGAAGAAACCTCTCCTTCAAAGTCAAATACAGTGCCTTTCAAAAGTGTACGGGCACGCTTGGAAACAGCTGTTCCTAGTTAGGAAAGAAGGTTCCATGGTTTGCAGCGTACTTAATCAAATTCAGCGTGCTCTGAAGCCATAGTCCACTTTATTTAGGGAGCAATATGAGCCACAAGCATTTTTTTAATACCTAAAAATGTCCCCTGTTTCAAAAGTATAGGGGCACCCGGGCAGAGTGATTCAAAAATTGCTTCTTCCTGTGAACCATTTGCGATTGAGTTGAAGCATTTGCGATTCTTTTGGGCATTTTTTTTTATGAAAGCACCCTACATCTTCAATGTGCCTGGATGATATGTGCCTTCAGATTAACACCATCTAGGGGATACCACGACCTCCGATAGCGCTTACGATATGCTCTCCTGCATTTTCCCACTCTTCGCAGCGTTGCTTCTCTCCGTGAACCAACCTCACAAGAGGAGTTTCGCTTGATCCATTTTGGCTTTGTTGATTCGATTCAGAGGTGTCAAAGAAATCGGGGAAGGAGGTGAATGGAGGAGAAGAAGAAGGGGAAGCCAGGTGCCAGTAAGGGCAGGGTGAGTGCCAAAGTGGGCAGGTTTCACATTGAAATTGCAATACGGTTCACTGCAGTACGGAGACCGAGAAAAAAGTGGGTGGAGATCCGGTAGCCATATGTATCAAAATCGAATAGATTTTACGCTATCAAGCGATAATAATTGTAGATATCGGTCTTCGCGTACGGCTCAAAATGGGCTGCGAGTCATGTCATTGATTAGGTTTGGTCACAGAAGCAGAAATTCCATAAATTTCCCAGATTTGATGCCCCTGAAACGACTGAAACGTGGCTTATAGAAAGACCCATAATCGATCATACTGTTCAGATCAAACTTCATAAGCTCAACATTGACAGCCGAGTTCTGCCTGTTCCGTGAGTTCTCTTGATGTTTACATCAACACTTGTTATTCTCATTGCACACCTTTCCTTCTGTCATGATTTGACTTTTAGTCACTTCACGTTGCTTCACATATGTTGCAAAGAAGGTCCTGAAAATTTTCATGCAATCGCAATTTCAGCTAGTTTTATTGAATTGTATGATTGAAATTCAATGTGACGTAGGCTGGTTGAATACTGGAAAATAGTTCGTCGCGCCCAGGAAATGCAGATTAGCAAAGTGATGCTCCATGATGGCTACCTTTTGCTCAATGGAAAACGTGGAGGAGCCACTTCTTCCGTTGTGAGCTATTACATTCATACAGTATGCTCAGAAGTCTTCAGTGGTATACTTTTTTGACTTCCATTTTCTCTGGACTAATTTGGCACTATTCACTCATCCTTCAGTTTGATTTACGTACTTTTACAGAAGCTAAACTCAAAATCAGTGTAATTAAAGCCGACAGCAAAAATCGCGCGAAAAAACCGTTCTTTTTTGAAACTGTCACATTTTAAACAGTGATAGAATTAGCATTAGGGGCTAGAAAAATTCCCATCGATTAAAGTGCAAATCGTGAGGTATTGGCTGCAATCCATATCGGATATCAGGCAGTTGCATAACATCCCACCTATATGAGCTTGGTTGATAAGAAATGTCGCTCACGTTTGTGACATCGCTTCTATGCTAAAGCAGAACCCCTCTCGATTCGTGAGCCTTAAGACCATCCTTTGGCGCACAGCTAGGCTTTACGTCTGTATTGTCGCCTGCGTGTGTGCACATGGTACGAGCTCAAACAAGGAATAACGGTCACTAATTCTCATCGAGACTGCATTAACAGTAATGTTTCGAAGCTTCTACGCGTGACTGGTGAAGCTATTCGGTACGGAAAGTGGGCTCGGCATCGCTTGAGTGAAGTGGACAAGCAGTAATAGAAGTATTTTCCACATTCTCAAGGAAAACGGTTTTTTGACTTTATGTGACGTCATTTCGGAAAGTAGGTTTCTCGATAAAATAAAGTGAGAGGTCGGCCGTAATTGGCACCTCATGGACAGCTGAGGCCAACTTCGAAACCGGACCCAAAGAGTGATCTTATGGTGCTCTTCCAAGTGCTGATTGTGGGTCAGGCAGTTAATGCTGAACCTACGCAGAAAAGCTCTTCCGCATGGACCTAGCGGGTGTTTTGTTTGGATGCCTTTCGGAATTATTCCAGTGTCTCATTACCGTCCACCAAGTAGAGCTTATTCCATCTTTCATAAT